ATATATACTTTAAAATCTTTAAATAAATAATATAAAAATATAGTTTATTTTTTGAATGGTTACCTATATCAAAACAACTTTAAATTTGAAATGTATGATATGAATGGAATAAATTCAATCATTATTTTTATAGAATATAAATTGTATAAAAAAATTATATAATTAAGTTACATCAATATAATTAATTAAATCTTGATAATTTTTAATTTTTTTCTTATTTAAACCAAATTATTATATCTTAAAAATTAATTACAAAGAGAGAAAAGATTCTTTACCTAAGTTCTAAGTGTTTCCTTTTTGTTTGAAATAGTTTCCATAATTCAAAAACTAAAAAACGAAATTTTGTAGAAAAAAAATAATGTACCATATTTAAAATTTTCCAAAAGTTTAGGGGGGCCTGCCACCCCTTGTCCTACATTGACTCAGTCCCTGATTCCTAATAATGGATGTTGGTCACGACCCTTAAAAAATAGTCAATCAATTGCTAAAGTCGGCTAGCTGTATCTGTTTCACAACGAAATTAAAATGTTGGGAAAACGTCAACGGTTGCTGTCTTATTTATCAAAGAAAAGCGAAGTGTGTTATAAAAAATTAATTAGTGAGTTGGATATTCCGGCGTCAAAAAATCGTTAATGAATTTGAAAATTTTGAATTAATTGATTTTTTAGATCTTGAATTTTGATGAACTTCTTTTCGTTTTCAGCAATTCATGTATAAATGAATCGAGGAAAAACCTATGAATATACAGGTTACAGAAAAGGACCTTATGAAAGTCCATATGGGACCTCACCACCCATCAATGCACGGTGTTCTTCGTCTTATCATTACTCTAGATGGTGAAGATGTTGTTGATTGTGAACCAATATTAGGTTATTTACACAGAGGGATGAAAAAAATTACAGAAAACCAAACAATTATACAATATCTACCTTATGTAACACGTTGGGATTACTTAGCTACTATGTTCACGGAGGCAATAACTGTAAATGGACCAGAACAGTTGGGAAATATTCAAGAGTCTTTATGAGCCTATGACTTACAAAGGACGGGGCGGAGGAGACCATAATTTACTTCATTGACTAATCAAATTCCTAATTTGCCCTTCCCTCCATCACTCACATTAGAATTTCTTTTTATTAACTTTTGATATTTTTAAAAGTTACATTGAACTTTAATTAATTTAGAGTTGAGTGAACCTTATAGAATGAGAAACTCTTTCAATACTTATTTTTTTATTCATAAGATTCAAATTTGAGTTTTTATTTAAAAAATTCAAATTCTTTTTATTTAAATCAATAGGTTAATAGTATCACTAAACATAAAAACTCTAAAGATTAAGAATTTGATTAGATAGGGTCAAAGACAGAACTAGAAATTTAAGTTAAAGGGAGGTAAAAGGTTAAACAATTTTTGTGAGTTATTTATTAGTTGATATTAATATAATTTATATTAGTTTTTATATTGATCGCTAATTTTGTGTATGTATCACTTAAGTTATGTACATAAAATTTTAAATTAATGAGTTGAATTCAACCAATCCCTTCTCTTTGCCCCTGTCATGGGGTACTAAACTAGGGGTGGGCAAATGGTTGGTTAACCAAATGCTTACATAATTAAAAAATCGATTAAAAAATAACCAAATGATAAGATGTAATTGAATTTTGGTAATTTTTTTGGTTTTAGTTATAACCAAAGAAATTCAGTTGGTTATTGTCTAGAGCCTTGAAAACCAAAAACTAAATATATAACCAAAAAATATATTTTTAGGTTAATAAATAAATAATTATTATTTGAATATTCTAAATAAATAAAAAAATTCATCACGTTCATACTCTTTTTCAAGTATTACCTTATAAACTTTGTTATAATTTAGGTTTAAAATTTAAAAT